TTTTCGTTCATGAAATGGATCAGGGAAGTACGGTATACTGTGACGATTCAGATCAGTCCAGTGTGAGTGATGAGAGTATATTGTCGACGATGCCCCTTGTTCGGATGAAAGTTATATTTCAAATTACACGGAAGTCTGTGAACAATCTGCTTGGTGTTCCTGTGACACTTGTCCCATGATTTGCCAGTGCAGCCCCGTGAATACATGGACGAAAATGTTTCCATCACCACCCTACGAACTCAAGATTGCATGCTCCAGCATCCATACTTTGAATAATTTGCATGCCGCACAGTGCAGTACTGGAAACAGCATTTATTAGACAGTTAGACAAAAAACAAAACAAAATGCCTGTCTCGATCAATCGCACATCCATAATGTTTGTATGTTGATATGCTTGTAAATAACATTAACGTAAAAGTCGAAACAACCAAGACTAGAAGTCAATTCACCAGTCCAGCCAGCTATGGCTCCCTAAGTTGCTTATATTTAATCAGATACTACTGTGAAATACTTTATTTTCGCTGGAATTTATTTTCGCTGAAAAGACTGTTTGGGTGTTTTGTATAGAATTTATTTTCACTGATTTTTGATGGGTTTAATGTAAAATATAGGAAAAAAGGTATATTCGCTGGATTTTATTTTCACTGAATCATTCCTTCAGTGAAAATAGCGAAAATTAATTCCAAGCGAAAATAAAGTATTCTACAGTATTTCGTCATCATGCTTTGTTACCTTACCTGTTTATACCTCATGAGTGCGTTTTTTTTATGGCAAGATGGTGCAAACGGAAGTCCTTCGCAGGTTTATGGTTTCTCATATTTAAATCATCATAACTCTGAAGATAATCATTTTTTTTTTCAAATTTATAATCAATATACATAACTTGATAAATACAAACACCAAAATAGACTCTATTTAGTTCCCCTTTAAGTAAAAAACTATTCTTACTAAAATAAAACCCTTTTCTTGTCTTTCAGTGGAAGCTCAGCTGAAATTCTCCCAGTTGAATTTGCTGAGAAATTGCAAAGATTCATAGCTAGGAAGGCAGATCTACTATTCATGGACTCTGGTGAACATGTTCAACCGTCAAGATATGAAATACATGTAGAGGATAGCGAGGATGAGGAGGAGGAAGGTGACTTGTATGCAATACTGCCTCCTCTTGAACAGTTCATGTCAATCCATTCAGAAACCACCGAATGTCGGGCACATCTGTATGAAGCCTTGGAAGCAAATGACATAGTAGTAGCACGTGTGGTTAACATTCGTGACTTTGGTCTCTTTGTAAGACTTATCTGTTTGTGTTGCAACAAGAAGCGTCAAGTCGATAATCTGGAGATAATAGGTTTATGTCCATCTTCAGAGATTCCTGCACAGTCCAGTCATGAAAATCCTGTTAATGGTTACCATGTAAATGATTTGCTGAAACTAAGAGTACTTAAAGTAGAAGCCAGCGAAGAGAAGATACTGCTGTCTCTTTTTGTGCCAAAACACTGGAGTGGAGATTCACATGTGGTGAATATAACTCAGGCTGGTTCACATTCAAGCTCGTTTGATGAAAATTGTTTTTTTTTTTTTTTGCGGGGGTGTCCATGTCAATCACACATGTATTTTGCTACCAAAAACATAGTGGGTATAATTCTCTGGAAAGAATCCAGCAGTCAAATTTGGTGATACAAATACATTTCACAACATTTTTAGTCAGAAACGGAGTTATGGTTTATATGTACATGTAGTGTCTGTGCATGTGTGTGTGTATCTTGCACACCTCTAGATCAATTCTCTTTATAACCTTGCATATACTAAATACCTCAAGTACATGCATGTATGCGGTGATTTCATGATTCAGTCAATGATATCTTCAATTCTCTATTTTTAGCAAATATTTTTGTCATTTTTGGTCAAAAATATATTTGACTTTTGCTACTCTAATTGCTTTCAATTGATGGACCTCTATTAGATTAGTCCATCTGTGATATTAGGGGAACACTCAAAGGTCTGCTGAAACAGCTATTTCGACTGTAAGGTTTAATCTGCTCAAGATGTATTGAATCTCAGCTTTGGAAAAACAAGAAACTTTTAATAATAATAATATGCTTATAATAAACTATGTATGTTACAGGGTATAATTACTGAGAGTGAATTACCGTCACAATACAAGAGAAGTTTATTTTTAGCTGACCACAACGATAGTTATGATAAAATGTTACACAATATATTGGGATTTTCCAACCCACACTGTGTCAGCTATCTCACTAATATGCTTGGACTGGATGAAAAAACACCACCATCTTTACTAAGGGCATTACACAGGTATGTAATGATATTATAGTTTGTGTTACTAGTATTATATAAAATCCCACGATATTTTTCTCTTGGGTTACCGTCAGTAGATATGAGTGATTACTGTCAGAGCTCTGTATCAATACATGCTGCAGGCGAGAGTTGATACTACTCTGGCTAGGTTTCTTTTGTTAGTCCCCGTTCGGACGAAGTCTGAAAACGGGGACTATTTATTTTAGGTTCATTCCGTCCGTACGTACGTCCAGAGCTTTATCTCGGAGACATGAAGATAATACATAATGTCTTACATATGCACGTCAAGTTACTTATGACTGGCGGCCATTTTGAATGTAAAATTTACCATTTCTGATACCTAAACGTGTCCGCAGCAGTTTCTCGGAGATGACTGGGTCGATTTAAATCAAAGTTGGTATGATGATCATACATATTGGATTGTAAGTGCACGTCTTTTTTTTTTCGTGATTCGAACAAATATGGCTGGCCGACGCCTAATTTTCATGTAAAAATGCTGAATCGTCATTTTTAAATGTCCGGAGCTGTTTCTCAGTGATGACTAGGCTAGGCCAATTTGGATCAAAGTTGGTATGATGATCATATATATTGGGTTATAGGTGCGCGTCATACTTTTTCCGTGATTCACATATGACTGACAGGCGGCCATTTTGTTTTTCATGGTACCCATGCTACTTTCTCGTGAATGCCATGAACGTTTCTGTTTAAATTTTGTACAAAAATTGTATACCAAGAGATACAACTACACCATTATTTTTGTGATTCAATTCAATATGGCTGACTGACCCAAATTTCATGTAAAAGTGCTAAATCGTCTTTTTGGCTCAGCGAACCTATGGGATTTCAAGACGAAAACCGCAGGAAAACTACAGCAAAATCCCCGTGTTTGCCGCCATCTTGAATAAGTTGTCGTGACGCCACGAGGCATCATAGTTTTCCTATTTCACACAGTTTTTGTTGTGAAATCGACCAATTTCGGACCATCGACCTCAAAATAATTGATGAAATAGTTTGAGACCCATCGACAGTAGAAACTTAAGGCGAAAATAATGAAAAAAAAAAAACGTCTGTTATGACCCGACCTGATTTCAGTTCAGACTATTTTAAAATGGTCATTTTTGGTCAAAAATTCTATTTTCGACTTTTTCTTCAAAACCGGTAGCCTGAATGCTTTGATAGTTGGTGTGTATGTACCTTGTGTTGACATCTACTAGATTTGTTCAACCCATGGCCATATTTTTAATTCTCTTATTTTGGCAAATATTTTTGTCATTTTTGGTTAAAAATGGAATTTCAACTAACCACTATTTCCAATGCTTTGGTGTTAGGCATACATGTGTTTATTATTCCATTAACAACTTTGTGTGGTTGTTTGGCGATATATTATTGATCAAAGTTGGTATGGTGATCATACATATTGGGTTATAGGTGCATGTCTTTTTCTTTTCGTGATTCAAACACATATGACTGACTGGCGGCCATTCTGTTTTTCATGGTACCCATGCTACTTTCTCTTGAATGCAATGAACATTTCTCTTTAAATTTTGTACAAAGATAGTATACTAAGGGATACATGCACACCAACATTATTTTTGTGATTCGATTCAATATGGCCGGTCAATGCCCAATTTTCATGTAAAAGTGCTAAATAGTAATTTTTACATGTCCGCTGCTGTTTCTCAGAGATGACTAGGCCGATTTGGATCAAAGTTGGTATGGTGATCATACATATTGGGTTATAGGTGCACGTCATATTTTTTGTCGTGATTGGAACAAATATGGTCGACTGGTGGCCATTTTGTTTTTCATGGTACCCATGCCTACTTTCCCATGAATGCACTGAACATTTCTGTTTAAATTTTGTACAAAGATAGTATACCAATAGATACATCAACATGAACATTATTTTTGTAATTTGATTCAATATTACTGCCCAATGTCTAATTCTCATGTAAAAGCACGATATCATAATTTTTTACAAATCCATCTCCTGTGTTGTGACAATTTGATCAAATAACTACGTAACCGTTTCTTAGAAGAAGTATATATGTTAGATGTATATTTTCATTAGAACTTCTTTATGTGATCAGATATTATTTCTGTCAAGACTGCTTATAAACAGACATTGAGTTACAAAAACATGTTACACATACATGTACGACCATGGCCATATTTAAAAAAACACTTTTGAAAAATCTCACCCAAATTGTAACTCAATGTTCAATTAACAGTTACATCAAGTCTCAGAAGTATTGGAGCAGCCAATTTGCAAACTCGCTAGCGAATTTGCTAACTGCTTTGGTTTTGACTAAACAGTTGGCTATCGAATCTCATTGGCACCAACTTGTGGTCGCGTTCACTCTGGACGAGTCTATATTACATTAGTAGACATAGAATGTTTTTACGTAGCCTGGATTCCCCTGAATGATTGTCTTTGTTACGCGAGGCGTGATAATGTAAAATGTAGTTCCCTGGTCAGCCTGAAAATGGCCACAATTCACTGCGTTCAATTACCCCATTATAGACTCTGGTCAGTCAAAATGAATATTTTGAACTGTAGCATTAATCTGCGATTCAGCCAATGACAGAGAGTGAAATCTAGGTCAGGAATGCCCCATGACCTCAAGATTTTCCTTCACGTTACAAACCACCTGACCAAAGTAATGAGCGGCGCCATATTGCCTTCAAATCACTTTCGATTTTTCTCGCCCTAGTG